CATGGTGTTTGTACGGTACAAAACAGATGATGACATTGTGGAAGAATTTTTGTTTTGGAAGCCACTTAGAACCACTACAACTGGCCAAGACATATTCGAAATGGTCAGGGAGTTTTGTAAGCAACATGATCTTGACTGGGGTGATTGCTGTACTGTTTGTAGTGATGGTGCTCCAGCCATGATGGGAAGTCGTGTAGGATGTTGTTATCATTCACCGTTTCCTTCACCCAGAGAGTTTAGCGACGCAAGAGATTCAACCAGAGCTTCACCTCCGTTCTACAGGATACTATAAAGGTTGTGAACTTCATCAAGTCAAAAGCACTGAATTCTCGACTGTTCCGGGCCATGTGTGAAGAAATGGGTCCCCATACCACCACTTGCTCTATCACTCACAAGTCCGATGGCTGTCTCGTGGGAAAATTAAAATTTGAACTTTTTCTGAGAGAGAAGAATCACCCTTTGACTGACCACTTTAGAGATGAAGTTTAGTTGGCGAAGCTTGCTTACTGAGTGATAGATTCCAGCACCTGAACGAGTTGAATTCTGAAATGTAAGGACGAAATCCGACCATGGTTGACATCGATGAGAAGAACTCTTGTTTTAAAAGAAAACTAGCTCTTTGGCGGGAAAAAATGACAAAAGGAAAAATAGCAGCATTTCCTAGTCTGAATGCGTTTCATATTTGTATCAAGTGATCCATTCCCCCAATTGTGTAACTGTATATTTTCAGCCTTTTGTCTGCCATGTCCTTCAATAAACCATTAATTATTATTATTATTATTATTACATACATAGGTCATCAATTCAGTACAAATGAAGCATAAATATTTTATTGCACCAAACAGAGATCAATATTTTTTATATAAACTAAATGCAACTACGACTTATTAGATCAATGAAAAAAAAAAGAGAATAATATCATTCAAACTTGTGAAATATTTGGTCACTCTAGCTGTTACATGGAAATAAAAGCGACGACGTTACTTTGTTTACAGAGTCGAAGGGTTTAAAAGGTTCACCCACACTGAACCACACAACCTCGCTATTTGGTGCATCCTTCTGGTAATAAACGCTTGAATTATAAAAGCTTTTGTCACTTACGTTATTGCATTTTGTTTGAAAGCTTAAAATGTTCTTTAAACTCTCAAGGACAACAGTAACACTGATACATTGCATTGAAGTTCAGTACTCAAGGAATAAGCCATCGTCCTTACGAGGTTAAAACATCATGCTTAGAGTTTAAACTATAGATCAAAGGGTTAAACCATCATCCTCACAAGGGACAAACCATCATCCTCAAAAAGATTAAACCATTATCCTCAAAAGGGTTAAACCATCATGCTCAAAGACTTAACCCATCATTATAGAAGTGAACAGTGCTGGACTTAATTTACGTTCGTAAACAGTAAAGTGACACCTAATATATAGTGTAACAAGATCATGTTTTTGAAGTAGATTGTGTCATGTTAAGAGAAATACAGGAAATTTAGCCGAGACAAAGATTACCCACCATAAAACAACACAAGTATTTCCCGCCAAGCACGAGCCATTCGTCGTGACTTGTGAGTGTGAATGCCTTAGGCCTGAACCAACAAGAGAGCCTGCGAGACGTAACGCCATGAAGATGTGGCACATAGGCCGCCTGGTTTTAAAACAGTCTGTGTTAGAATTTTGTGGGGAGAGATGTGGGACGTCTGTGGTGGCGACATGGCAGGTTGTGAGATACGTGGTCTCCGTTTAACTAGCTGGGAGCATAGGTTTATTGCTTTGAGGTGTAATTGTTAAACCCTACTAGAAAGTATTCAATAAATTCAGTAACCGTTTATTGAGAGTCCTAATTCATCCCTCCTTTGTGAGAGTGATGCGTTATCAGTGTCTTGGTTGTATGTAGTGATGCAGTGAACCCATTAGTAATAACATAACCTATTTGCAGGTTACCCCTATTCCCCAGTTATCCTCGTCTACTTCCCCTCTCCACTCTGGCCTTTGGGGTGAGGGTGCCCTAACCACAAACCGCCCTTACCTTCTCAAACTCCTTACCACCTTCTCAAACTCCTTACCTCCTCCTCTAGTCTCCCTCCACCTCCTAGCCTCCACCATCTCACGAGAAATACAGAGAATGAACTAAAGGTGGAAAAAAAATTAAAACAAAGATATAAATAGAAAATAAGAAGATGCAAAATAAAAGAAGTTACTGTTACAACACGACACAGTACAGGTGCCTCACTATACATCTGTTGTGACTCACCTACACGACACCCTTTTATTGATAAACTAATATGAACTAGAACGAAAAAAAATAAAAAGCATTACTTAAAAATTATCCACACTAGTTTATTTCACCTGATGATAAACACCTTAGTGCTACCGAAGTTAGGTTAGGATAGTGCTCTTGCCTCCCACACTGAAGGTAAACACAAATTGTAACTTCTATATTCATGATAAAGTCGTCTCAGAAAAAAAACAAAGCAAACTACCTTACAGAATTTCATGGGGATCGTGTGAAGGCTTGTATTATAACACCAAGACTATCCTCACTTGTGGGAGATGTCATTAATTAACAAGCGAGGACAAAGTTGCTGTTGTAATAGAAACATTCACGGCTTTTATATTCCCAGCAAATGTTGGAGTTTTGGTCTTTCTAGCAGTTTGAGTTTCGTGTTCCTTGTGGTTATGAACGACAGGCTGTGAGGAGGAACATGTCTGGACTGTTACTTCGTGTCTGTGTATTTGTCTGGGCTGTTACTCTGTCTCCTTGTCTTTATCTTCAATAACCTGGCAGAACATTTCCCTCTTAAACGTTATCTTACACGACGATGTCTCTGTCCCACAGTTATTGACTCATTCTTATATTAGTTCCAGCATTCCTGAGCCTCATATGATATTTTGCTCCTAAATCAATTTTTTAATCATCGAGGCATTTCTTTCCTGATTATTCTACTCCTGGCGCCTCCTATAACATAAGTGCCATCACCCTCTCTCTTTTTACCCTCCCCCCCCCAGCACTCTCTCCTCCATCGTCGTCAGTGTGTGGCTCCTGTAGATGGTCACTGCTGGTTCTTCATGTCCTCGAGGTACGTGAGAGCATCTGGACCACAGCGGTAGACCAGTTGCCTCTCTGACACAGGCTCCAGACCCCCTGTGGCGTAGTGGTACCTGAGGGAGGAGAGGCAGTGAATTTTATGAAACGATTTTCCTACGTTAATTGAGTCTTATAGGATTTTAATCTCCATTGAAGTCAATGAGGCTTATTGCATCACCTATGAAGTCAGTCAATCTTATGTCATCACCTATGAAGTCATTCAAACTTATTCCATCACGTTTGAAATCAATCAGTCTTACGCTATCACGCATGAAATCAGGGTTAGTGATGCTTAAGAGAAAGTGATATATTTTTTGAAGTCGATAAGTCCTTGCGACATTTCATCACGTCATCAGTGAGATTTGATAAGTAATGTATCTTTCCATATCTACGGAAACAAAAGGATAATTGTTACCCTTTCACACACACACACACATACCACATCCTTGACCACCGGAAGGTCACTACCTATGAGACACTGCTCCTGCTATTGCCCCCCTTGGCCAATGTTGGCCCATTCCCCAAATCCCTCTCCTCGACCCGTCCTCACCACCAGGATATCAACATAACCCCATCAAAAGTGACAATTTCGTTTCAGAAAGTGGATCAGTGCTGATCAGTGTTTAAGCCACTGAACTCAGCACTAGACAGTATCAGCAAGAGCAGTGACCCACCAGTGAAATAAGCACCCCTAGGTCCCGACCACCATCTTCTGACCCGGCAGTGTTAATCAGTCCACCCTGGGAACAACAGTGGGCCGGCTTTACACCTGACTAGGAGATAACACAACACCACCTAGCAGAGAGTGAGGTACTGTGACACCACCTCACACCACACGGTGCCTCCATGACCATGTGAAGTCTTTCATATCAACACCCAAGGACGAGTCACTACACCATGTGAACACCACACCACTTGATGTTTCCATGACCACGTGAGGTCCTTCATATCAACACCTATGGACGAGTTACTGCACCACGTGAACACCACACCACCCGGTGTCTCCATGACCACGCGAGGTCCTTCATCTATGGACGAGTTACCACACCACGGGGGCTCACGTGACCCCACACAGTAGGACAAGAAACCAGCCTGGGCCATCAACTGTAAACGATAATCTGTATGTTCAATTCATGTTCCTTCTCCTCTTAGTGATGTAAACTTTTGTTAGACCACCCACCTACCCCATGTCTTTATATTTAATAAGTAATTTTTGTCTAATGTATTCTTTCATCGCTCGGGCTGCAGAACTTTCAATAAACCGTTAATTATTATACACACACACACAGAATACCATTACAATAACAGCCTCTCACCCCCCCCACTTCATAGTCGGAGAAACACATATTTGGTGTGTGCCAAAATCCCATGTTTGTAATGCTCATTGAACATAAATATCATCACCCCATCTCTTGTTGCCTTCGTTTAACACTTGGGTCAGCTCCCCCCTTATACTTCATGTAACGTGTAATACGAGCAGTTGACTCTTTATACCTCCTTTAAAGCTAATACCAACACACTATCTCTTGTAATAGCTTTTTTGGCGCTATATCCAGTTACCTGAGGCCACGGGCGAAGTTGTTGTAGGAGAGGTTGGCCTTCTCGACGCCTCTCTGTGCCCACATCTTAGCTATTGTCTCGGGTTGCATTAGCCTGAAGGTAGCGGTGCTCTCCTCCTCCCAGCGGATCAGTAACGGGTTGGTCCTCTTGTCTAGCAGGAGTCGTATCAGGAACTCCCAGCTCTTAGGACCTCGTACTGTAGTGGAGTATAATTTTGGTGGGTGGTAGAGAAGAAGAGGAGTGACGAAGAAGAAAAAGAAAACTTATAAAGAAGAAAATAAGAAGATAAAGAGGAGTAAATAAGATGAAACAAGAGAAGAGGAAGGTTGACGAAGATGAAGAAGAAGATTGAAGAATATTAAAGAAGAAAAAGATTGACGAAGAAGATCGACGAAGAAGGAGAGCAGTAAATCTCACCTCGCTTTCTAGTCTTGGACGGAATCTTCTTCAGAACGTCTCCTGAGAGAAAGTGTTCCAGGTCAATGGTACTAGCCGTTCCATCACCACTATCTGCTCCACCATCACCTGCTCCACCTGCACCGCCATCTGCTCCACCACCACATTCACCACTAACGTCATCTTCATTCACCTGCCCAGATGGCTCCTCCTCCTCTGCAACACCAAAATTTTGGAGGTCACTGAATTAGTAATGATAATTAGACCGGATATAGTTTTGTATGGTTCAATATATTGTTGAGGGAGAGAGAGAACACTTTTGCTTAAGAATAGTTACGTTAAGCCTGAGTCTTGAGATGGCAGAGTGACACACACACACACACACACACTACTACTTTGCTGTCACTGGGTATCGAGTATGACGATAGACCAGCTATGATACATTGATATGAGTTATTAACGATGTCACCTTCGTTGGTGAGCTCTGGGGTGACTAGAGAGGCCGATACAGGACTGGCATGGTCGTTCACAGATGTTGCAAGTGTGGAGGGCTACATATAGTGCAGGAGGGACGGCAGCGGTAGCATCTTTCCGGAGGTGGCACTGGTTTGCCTCGTTATGCATTCGGGCTAACTCGAAAGTATTGACACCGTGTGTGTGGTGCTCCTCCAAGCTTTACGGTGTGAAGTAATTGTCCTCCACGTGAGGGGGTCGATTTAGTAATTTTTTCAGGTTTGTCTTAAAACTATCCTTATACCTTTTCAGTTGCCCTCCAGCGATACATTTGTTAGGTGACTGTAAAGTAGCCGCTTTGGCAGGCTACTTTTGTCCATGAGGGTAACATGACCAGTCCAGCATAACTGTTCATCGATGCTCCTACAGTTGGTGTCAGCGAGAGTACTGGCATTTACTCTTTTGTCTTCTCAGCGAACTCGGAGGATGGAACGTAGACTACGTTGGTGAAAGTTTTCAAGTGCCTAGAGCTTCCTCCTGCCTGTGACCCATGTCTCGCTGCCATATAGCATGGTGGGGATGACCACTGCTCGATATAGGTGCAACTTTGTAGACAATTTCCGCTCCATACAGCTGAAGATGCGGGTACGGAGTCTGCTAAGGTCTTGAGATGCGCACCTTCATCAATGACCACGGTGGTGGACAAGTGGGAGCCAAGTTACTGAAAGTGGGTAGCATTAGAGAGGGTAGTACCGTTAAGATGGATGGATGGTGGAGGTGTGTCCGAGCCAGGGGCAGGCTGAAAGAGAATCTGAGTCCTACATACATTCACCTCAAGACCGAAATGTGTATACACATCTGAGTAGGTGTTCAGGATCTCCTGTAGGTCGCCTTCATTGTAAGCAACAAGAGTGAGGTAGTCTGCATACTGAAGTTCAGTAATGGAAGCTGCCGACACCTTTGTTCCTGTCTGGAGTCGTCTTATGTTAAAAAGATCCTTCATCCGGTACTGGATGTCCTCCCCGCCGGCTCGGAGCGTCTCATTCCAATAGACATTTCAGTTAGCCTGTGTAGGATGCGTTGGCGGATGGCAAACCCAACTCCATAAATGCGGTTTCTCTCTGCAGCAGGCTTACCCTACCAGAAGAAGGTATAGCGGGACCCCCGTTCTGTGATTTGACCCTCATCTGGGAACCGAAACTCTCTAATCGGTGTATTACCTAGCCAGCTCTTTTGCCACAAGGGCAGTTCTTCTCTGAGGACGCTCATTTGTGCCAGTATCCAGAAGGATCCTAACACTCCAGGCAGCGACCACAAGAGGTTGTATAGTTTGTTTTTGTTTGGATCTGTGATTTTGATGACCTTTCTGGGTGCGGTTGCCCAGTCAGGTTTTTTTTTTGGGGGGGGGGGGCAGGCTATGTTCAGGGCATCTTTACTAGCCCCCTCCACATGTGGGACGAGCAGAGTAGCTCCTCGAAAGGGCTGCTCAGTCGCACAACAGCACCGGATTGCACTGCTGCCTAGATCCCAGTGCATAAACGACCATCTTATCTGTGCCTCAAGTGCAAAGTTTTGACTAAACACTCCCGGCAGTCACCTTTGCCTGTCCTCGTCGCCACTCGTCCGTCGCCTTTGGACTTTTGGGGGTATAGGGAATTTGATGATGATGACACACATACACACAACTCACCATGCCTCGTCGTCAGGTGGTGTTCCTCTTGAAGCTCCAAGGTCACCAACGCCCCCGCTAGCTGGTCGGAGTCCACGTGCTGTTTTCTTCGTCGCCTTCTTTTGGGTGTCAACTGATGGGGAGGTTCCAGGTCATCTTCTCCCCCCTGTGTCCAATCGTGTGCGCTGTAGGCACCCCCAGCGCTGCTCCAGCCCTGTGGACTGTAGAAGGACCCGGACGACAGAGAGAATAATGGCCCATGTTGACTCGAGTCATGGTGGGAAGAGGTGGAGGTTGAGGGGCAGGTATGTTGTTGGTCATGGTGGGAAGAGGTGGAGGTTGAGGGGCAGGTATGTTGTTGGTCATGGAAGGAAGAAGAGGAGGAAGAACAGGGAACGTTTTCGTCCAGGCTACGATAGGAATCATGTTCCCTGTGATTATAATAACACTCCCGTGATCTAATGTCCGCAGTGCCATGATAGGAGTCAGGTCCCAAGTCAGTTTTTTCGTGATATGATCCATGTCTAAAGTCAGTGGAGTCGTGCAGAAGACCTGGGGAGTCGTAGGAGCTCGTCCTGTTGGAGTTCTTACCAGAGGCGGTCCAGGAACTTTCATCTGGAAAATGTCTGGAAGTTCCCAAGTTTTTCAAATGGTAATATGAACCTGAAGCCTCTAGGTTATGCGATTGAGGGAAAGGCATTGGATTTGTCCATTGAGTAGAGTCGTTCTTATTCTGTCCAGAAGCCTTCCAATCGGTGGTGGTGTGGGACGAGGTAGATGAGCTCCAGACGTCTCTTGGGAAAGTCGATGTCACTAACATGCTGCCTCCTGGTCATGGGGTAAGAAGACCGAGATAGAGACATGAGAATTCTACACCTGAATTGAATATATTATTATTGTTATTCACGACATTGATCACCTGAAGATAAGCCTCCCGGAGTTTATTTCACCTGATGCTTAAAACGACCTAATGCTACCTGGAGGGGGCTTAGGTTAGGTTTAGGTTATGTGAATTTATCAATGGGGTCTATAATTATCAGATGAAATAAGCTGGGGTGCCTAATCTTTACAAGACCTCAACTGATGACTCGGAAGGATACCAGATGTATAGATGAACTCAGGAAACAAGTTCAAGGAGTCGTGAGAAGGTTTTGATAATGGCTGTCACATTACGGTCTCAATAAGCTCACCTATGCCTCCCCTACCTGGTCTTCCTCCCTAAATGCCACACAACGTAAACACCTAGAAAAAGTCCAAAAGAGGGCATGCAAGATCATTCTCTTCCCTTCCTACTCCACATATCAAGAAGCGCTCAACACACTGACCCTTTCGACTCTCACTGACCATCACCACGACCTCATCTGCAAATTTGGTAGGAAGCTTCTGCAACATCCTCGACACCGGCTCCTACTACCACCTGAGATCACTAGCCCGAGAATTGCTGTTCGACACCACAACCGCATCCAGCCCATACGTGCACGAACTGATCGCTATAAGAACAGCCCAGTCCCAACCATTGTAAAAATTATCAATAAGATGTAATAAACCAGTGTGTTCACTCCCAGTAAACACTACTTCTTGCACTGTCACTATGTTGAAATGCCCTGTAGTTTGAGCTTTTCCCCATCTAGTTATTATATGTCTTATTTATATCACTTATCTTATTTGTAATTCGAAACCCATTCCCAATTATGTAACTGTATATTTTCAGCCTTCTGGCTGCCAAGCTCTTTCAATAAACCGTTAATTATTATTATTATTACAACACCTAGAGGCCAACACTTACCATACTGAAGGTTCTGCAGCTCCTGGTGTAGTAGATCAGCACAGTAGTCACCCAGGAAGCCTCTCAGCTGGGTGTGTGAGAGAAGAAGGAGCTGCCTGCCGGAGATGGTAGTCAGGGGCTGTAGATTAACGCTGTATGGGTCGACTCCATGGCCCTGTAGGATCTCCTTCGCCCACAACTCTACCTGCTGGGGGAGTGAGACAGGGGAGTACAGTCTCTCTCTCATATATATATATATATATATATATATATATATATATATATATAAATAACTACTACTTTGCTATCACTCGGAATCAAGTATGACGATCATCCAGCTAGGATACAAAGGTGTCACCTACGTTGGCGAGTTTTGAGGTGACTAAAGAGGTCGATACGGGACCGGCAGAGTTGTTCACATTCGTTTCACATGTGGAGGGCTACATCTTGTGCGGGACGGGCGGTGGCGGCGTCTTTCCGGCGTTGGCACTTGTCTGCCTCGGTTTGCAGTCGGGCTAACTCGAAAGTATTGACAGCTCGTGTGGTGCTCCTCCAAGCATTACGATGTGGAGTAATCGTCTCCCAGGTGACGGGGTCGATTTGGCACTTCTTCAGGTTGTCTTAAGACTAACCTTATACCTTTTCAATTGCCCGCCGGCGTTACGTTTACTTTCCGTTAGGTGACTGTAAAGTAGCTGCTTTGGCAGTCTACTGTCGTCCATGTGGGCAACATGGCCAGTCCAGCGTAGTTGTTGATGTATAATGGTAGCCTCAATGCTCCTACAGTTGGTGTCAGCAAGAATACTGGCAGGTGCTCTCTTGTCTTCCCAGCGAACTCAAGAGGATGAAACGTAGACTACGTTGGTGAAAGTTTTCAAGTGCCTTGAGGTGCCTCCTGTATGGGATCCATGTCTCGCTGCCATATAGCAGGGTGGGGAGGACCACTGCTCGATATACGTGTAACTTTGTAGATAATTTCAGTTCCTTACCTAATCAAATGAACTTCTTGGTACTGTACTAAAAAGAACTTTGTTAATTGTTCTGATCAAACTTAGAACTTAAGAAATAAACTTTATAATATCAAATTTGACTAAGCAAAAAAATTCATGAATACATTTGTAAGAAGACCGTTAGATATACTCACAAATTGTTTGGGTTACCGTGTAGTGAAAGGTGTCGCGATAATGTAAGTATAAATGTAAAAATTTCTTTATACCAAGTATTAGAATATCAAGTTGATAATAATCTTATGATCCTAGTTATTGATGAGATAAAGTAATTGTTTAAATGTGTCTCCCGTAGGAGTGGTAAGAAAGTAAACACGAGACAAGGTTGGACCAACAGTCAGACACCGGCGTGTTAACTGGTAGCGAGGGAGAAATAAGCAATATTCTGAACAGATATTTTTCATCAGTTTGCACAACTGAAAATTTAAACATGATACCCGAGGCACCGACTATATACATAGATAGTGAAGAAAATAAATTAAGCGAGATAGTAATGACTAGTAATGATGTTAGTAAATAAATAGATACACTAAAACCTAATAAGTCACCAGGTCACGACGAGATATTTGCCAGAGTATTGAAGGAATGTAAGGAAGAGCTTAATATGCCCTTAGCAAACTTGTTTAGCATGTCATTAAAAACGGGTGTAGTACCAGAATCCTGGAGGATAGCGAATGTAATACCGATTTTCAAGACGGGAGACAGATCACTATCCTCAAACTACCGTCCAATCGGTTTAACATCAATTGTAGGCAAATTACTGGAAGCTATATTTTCAAACTTAATTCGAAATCACCTCGAGAAGCACAAGTTGATAAATGATTCCCAGCATGGCTTCACAAGTGGGTGTCCATGTCTGATAAATCTATTATCATTCTTTTCAACTAGTTATGAATCTATGAAAATATTAATAAAAGTCACAGCTACAACAACGGTCACAGCTACAACACACACTTACCTGTCCAGTCCAATCAGTAACACGCATGCGTCCGTGGCAGGAAGAGGAGGACGAGGAAGTGTCCGTCCGTGCTGATGCGACAGAAGTAAGGTCTTCTAATGGGGTGTCCAGGCCTCCTAAATAAGCCTGGCATAGGTCGGCGATGCTTCCTCCCCGACCCATGACTGCATCGCCTATCCTGAACGAGGGTTCCAGATCATCGTAGTTCTGCTCCATCCTGATGTTATTATTGTTGTTGTTTTTGTGGGATCGAAGAACAGAGGAATATCCTACACACACACGAACAGAGGGTGAAGTAGGAGGTATTGTCGGCTGGTTGATTTTTTTCTTCAAGAGGTCGTTGATGGGTAGATGCGTTTTTTATCTCATAATACTGTATGTATTTTATTTTCCACTTGTGAGAAACTTGATTGTTGATGCCAAATTTATTATTATTTTGATGGTTGTTTTATTTTGTTGCTGTTTATTTGACACCGCTTCTCATACTTTGTTTAAACCGGATTTGAATTTAGGGCTACTGTTTGGAGTTGCTTGGAACTGGTCTTCTTCTATGAGCTGCCGGAGTGGCGTTTATTGGTCTTGATGCACTTGTGTTTGTTTGAATTTCCTTCCGACTCTTTGAACTTTAATGAAAACTTGTCCCTCTTCGTCAATTGCTGTCGACTTTGGGCTTGGTAGAAAATTTCTTCATCCACGACCTTTGGTTCTTCACTTTGCATTCAGTAGAAGAGTGACTTTAGTCCAGCCGACGTACTGCCTCTGTCTGGGTTGATGTGAGTTCTGATATTTTCCGTATGGACCTTTGATTTATCTGAGGCATGTTCTCCCCTGTCAGCTTCGTTAGTGTCTACCACAGGAAGGTAGAGAGCGAGAGAGAGGAGGCTGTCTGTGTCGCGTGGGAGGATAGATCCTACTGAACACTTCACTGTCCAAGCAGACCTCTCATAGAACATCGCCATTGGGTCGTCTATTCCAAGGCGCCCCCTCTCTCCTGGTGGGGAATTACGGCAAACAGACCCTTACGTTTTGTCTCCGACCTGTTCATGGTGAATCGGCAGTCTTTTCGGGCCCCTCCCCTCCGCCCGTCTCCCTCCTTCTCCTCCTAAACCTATCAATGTGCACCCAAACGACCCTCCCTCTATTCTCTCCACTCTGCTTCCTCTAACCGCTCCGCCTACCCCTTCTACTACGCTCCGAACCTTCAATCATCTTTCCAACTTCATCATGGTGAATCATCACTTCTGCACCACTCCCCTCCCCCTGCCTCTCCCCCCCTTACCATAAATTAACATCACCATACACTCCTCATGTGTCTACAATAATATAACTTCAGATCTATCCTCCCCCCCTCCTTTCTTCCTCCCTCTCCCTAACTCCACCCAACATTACCACTGGCACACCCTCCCCATTCCACCCCACGCCCTCCTTCCCGCCCTTCATTAACTCTGGTACACACGGTTCGTTGCTCACTATCAGTAGTCTAAGCGCCGTACACCTAACCCCGCCCCACCGACCATCCCCCTTTGTTCCCCGGGCCGGCCTTGCATGGCAGACAGTGCTTGACGCTATGACGCAAATACAGAAGAGCAGTGGTTCAGTTTATGACGCCGTGGTTGGTAAGTAACGTAATGATTGTGGCCAAAAGTATCGAGATATACTGTACGTACAGTCGGTCATAGATTGGAGTAACGTCACTAGTGGAGTATCCCAAGACGCAGTACTTTGACCATTATTAAATACATAAACGACATAGATATAGGCATAGACAGCAACATAAGTAAATTTGCTGATGACACTAAAATAGGGTCTGTAATTAATCTGACGTGGAATCCGCAAAACTACAGGAAGATCTATACAAATTTTTCATATGATATGAAAAATGGCAAATTAAATTTAATGTGGATAAATGTAAAGTACTTCGTCTAGGACAAAGGTTCTCAGTCTTTTTCCACTCCATTCCCCCCATGAGGAATTTTCAACATCCTCGTGGCCTCCTCCATTTTTCTCCCAGAACAGACAAGTGATAAAAGCTAAAGAATGATAAAGAAGGACAGATAAATAGGACAAGAGTTAGAATGGCAAACACACACACACATTCACATACATAACACGCCCATGCACTCACACATAAAGCACACATACAGCCATACACAAACATGCACACAGGTAACATTCACACTCAAGCTGAAGTGGACTTCCTGTAAGCAAGAACACGCCTCCTTTGACAAGTACTGCCCAACTTGGAAGAATGAGAATAGCGAGTCATACCAATTTAGCACTAAAAATGGTAGGATTATATAAGTAAAGAATGAGCATGAACAACAATGACACCAATAAATAAGGAAATAATTAATAAAGGAAGTGTACAAATATTTCACCCACGTAAAGCAGCGACCACATGAATTATGAAACAAAATAAGTAACACCAATTATGGAGTATATTATGCTTGAGTCAAGCTCAAACAATATATGGTTCAGAGACAATACACTCCACTGTTTTCGTGATGGTATCCCAAGCCAGACTGAGATCATTCGGTCCTATAACCACTTGCTGCATTTTCCTCCATTCTTATGTTCTTATCAGTGACAGTGGGGTGGAATGGGCCCCAACTATCAGTGCTAGTTGGGGGACAATGGACCAATCTATTAGCGCAAGTGGGATGGAATAGGTCCAACTATCAGTGCTAGTGGGGTGGAATGGGTCACACTATCAGTGCTAGTGGGGGGACAATGGGCCAAACTTCTTTTTTACGGGGAATAGCCCACCCGGGCACAGGACATCGACCCACAACGGGGCCTAGGGGGAAAAAGAATAAAAGTAAAACTAAAATAAAAATAGAAACCAGCTTTTTGAAGCGAGACATTGTACAAGTATGGAAACACAGAAGGCAGAGCATTCCACAGTTTGGCTGTGTGAGGAAAGAAGGATGTACTCTAACGGGTTATTTTAGTATGACCGACATCCACGCAGAAACGGTGGGCAAGACGTGTGTTACGAGCCCACGTCCTTGCAGGCGGTACACAGGATGCCAAATCCACAGAACATTGCCCGTTAAAGAACCTGTAAAAGAGAGAGAGTGAAGCAACATTGCGGCGAAGAAAGATTATCAACTAAAGGAAGAGAGTCAAAAAGACGAAATGCCTTTGATTCCACCCTATCTAACAGATGGACAGAAGAAGAGCCACCCCAGATATGAGAGCGGTACTCCAAGTTAGGACGAATGAATCCCTTATAAATTGAAGCAATAGCTCAGGAGTGAAGTAGCTACGGCATCTGTACAGCATTCACAGCATTCGGGAGGCAGCTTTAGCAATGTTGTGGATGTGTGGCTTCCATGACATGTTAGAGGAAATGGTGAGGCCTAGCATATCTATTTTAGAATTTGGCAGAATGTTTGTGTCCTGAAATGTGATTGGTGGGAGATCACCTTATTTGGAAAGTGTAATTGATAATTACTGTGTTTTATTACTATTGAATTTAGCCAAGTTTCTACCTCCCCATACGGAGATGCTGCACAGATATGCATTGATAGATGAAATTATATCAACTCTAGAAACAGATCTAGTTTGAGAATCGGGGGGTGGGGGGGGAGGGAAAAATGTGAAGAAGAGTGAAGAGTAGAATCGTCAGCGTAAGAATGGACAGAATTAGTCGTAGTGCGAAGTAAATCATTGATAAAAAGAAGGAAGAGAGTAGGTGAAAGAACAGAACCCTGTGGGACGCCACTACTGGTAGATAAAGAGCGAGAGATCGATCCCTCGACAACAACTGCCATGGATCGGTTCTCAAGGAAGCTAGAAATTAGAGAACAAAGTGGAGGAGAGAAACCATAAGAGGGAAGTTTAGAGAACAAAGACTTGTGTCATACCCTGTCAAATGCTTTCTAGATGTCGAGGGCCACAACGAAAGTTTCCCCATAATTTCAAAGAGAGGATGACCAAAGATCGGTGCAGTAGGAGAGCAGATGACCAGTAGATCTCGCTTGGCAAAAGAGAATGTCGTTCAAGGTGACGAAGAAAATGGGAGTTTGAGATAGTTTCGAAAATCTTTGAAGTTAAGGTAATGAGGCGATAGTTAGAGGGATTGGAATGGTCACCCTTCTTCGGGATGGGCTGAACCGAGGCATTCTTCCAAGAAGAAGGAAAGGTTGGGTTTTGAGGCAAAGGCGAAAGACACGAGCAAGCACAGGGGCTAGAATTTCAGCACACTCCTTCATAACACGAGGGGGTATTCAGTCCGGTCCATGCGCCTTACTCACATCCAACCTGGATAGCACACAGCAACTTATACGAATGGAGATTATAGGAAAGTGCTTAGGTTCAGCAGGAGGAGCAGGAGGGATAGAGTTGGAATCGTCTAAGGTGAAGTTAGGGGAGAATAAGGTGTCAAAGAGATTGGCTTTATCAGGGGGAGAGTTGGCTATAGAGTTATCAGGTCGGAAGAGAAGGAGTGCAGATATTATTACATGTTTATGGTTAAGAACCAGAAGGATTTACTAGAAGAAGAGAATGTCAGGACAGCGGTCTTTCTTTTTATAAAATTCCGCTTGACCCTACGAAGAATAGCTTTACAACGATTCCTTGAAGTAATGAAAGAGGAGTGAGTAATATGAGGAGATAGTTTCATAACTTGATACACCTTATCTCTCTCCCTGCATGCAAAAGAGCAGGAGCGATCAAACCATGATTGTAAAGTGAATATTTTGGTAGAAGACGGGATAAATGTACTCATACCACCGAGTATGACCCCAGCAATGCTGTCAGCACATACCGAGGCGTCCCTGGAAAAGCAACATTCATCCCAAGGAAAGTCGGAGGAGAAGTCTTGCAAGGATTCCCAGTTTGCCCTCCGATCGTGCCATAGTTGGCGTTTAGAGGGACGTGGGGGAGGTGGTCGTGCCCAGTTTGATTTAATAGAAATAAGATTGTGATCAGAAGACCCAAAGGGGCCAGAAATTGAGTATGAATAGTGTGAGGGGTTAGAGGTAAAACAAAGATCAAGAATGTCAAGTTGATCCTGTCGATCAGAAACACGTGTAGGGTGTTTAATTATTTGTTACAGATCATTAAGTAAGGAAAAAGAGAGTACCTCAGCTCCACCTGGGTCATCCCTTGCAGAGCCAAGCCACTCTGTGATATACATTGAAATCCCCTAAGTATAGGATCTTGGTGTTGGGGTGTGTGGACAGCAACGACTCATGGCAAGAAGTGAGATG